CAAGAAATTAGAATTGGCAACCTCGGCGTTGGCTTGTTTTATGCAACCGATTTCCGAAAATACCATCTATCAGTACCAGTCGACAGTTCGCGTTTCTTTACAAATACCTAGTCAGATTTCAATAAGAAATATACAGAACAGTATACTAAATTCGATTCCTACAGAGTCCAGTAGGTTTCCTAACTTCACTGGCAAGTTGTTTAGTGTCTCTAATTTACATATTGTCGGAAAAGTCACAGTTGGCGCGAGAAAAGGGGGTACCGTAGTTTCTTCCGGTTCTGTCCATACGCTAGTGGTGTTGGAATTTTTGTATTATCCTTGGCAAGAAAAAGAGTCGAGATATACATTATTATGCCATATAAACATGAACAATGAAAAGCCCTTTGTGAGCAATTTTAAAAGTGATTCTCTCAATAGATTATGGTAGAGCCGGCTACAGGCTCCTGTGCGAACTACTATGCCATACTGTTCCGTTTTGATATAATTCATTAAATAATTTTGTTTCCTGTGATTAGTTCCTGCATGCGCACTAGATTGTTCTTTAAGAAGCCAGTTTGTTGCAAGACAAATTCCTGTTTTCTTTCTTTCTCCTTCATTAAAGAACAGTTGTCGGTGCACTATGGTCCCACGACACGATCTGCACGCTGGAATGCTGTCTCGGTATAAGTTTATTACAGTCACTCGCAAACAATTGCCTGTTAAACATTACTACTGACTAGTAGTTCTTGGAGAAATAGCCAAAAGTGGATCCCTGGCCTTATACTGTTCTGTATAGTTCTTATATTGAAATCTGACTAGTTACTGATAGATAGTATTTTCGGAAATCAGTTGCATAAAACAAGCCAACGCCACAGTTGCCAATTCTAATTTCTTGATAACTCCGATGAATGGAGCAAAGGAAAAGACCTTTTCGTGTTGAAGGTTAGTATATTAATGTTTTCTTTTATTTGTATAGACTACATTTGAAAAACAATGATGTTTCAAGGGAATTTATTTCGAGAAGCTTTAGTCACGCAATTGCCAAACAATGATTTCTGCATATTTAATGGTCAAAATAAAAGCTCTAGTGAAAAGCGCACCATTATTTCCCAAAATAGGTTGCTATCAATAGACGTCACTTCCGGTAATAGCTCTTTTTTGATGGCTTGTAGAATCCTGGAGGTTGTTTTGATCTCTTGTTTTCTGGTTTGA